GGGTTTGTCAAAGTTGCATCACTTATATTAATATTTTCAAAAATTGATTTTCTCATATTCCTAATTCTTCGCCTTTTTTGGGCAGTACGAAAAGTATTAAAATTCCTTTGCCATTGTAAAGGGGTCGTGGTTTTAAAAATAATTTTAAGATTTACCAAACATAAAGCCTATGGGCTTATATTCTATAGAATATCACTACTATATTTTTTATTTATTTATTATTAAAATTTATGAGCAAATGCACTAAGCGTTGCCTTTGTAAGTGGTGCGGCAATTGTCGCATACTCTTTTATAAATTTACAGGTAGCTCGATAGGCCTAAAAATTTGCGTACCTACTTGTTTTACAGTGGGAGGGGCAGGCATTTTTATTAGGGCCTCAACCTTCATTTTTCCCGGTCGAACCCCTTCTGCCCTTATTTCTCTGCCCAGGTACTCTATTCGCGTTTGCAGAAAGGCGCATTTGTTTAATTTAAGAGTAAGGTTTTGTTGTATTTTTTAAATTTTATTAGCTGTTTCACCTTGCGTGTCGTTCGAACTGGAACTGGATCTGGAGTTAGAGCTGGAGCTGGAGCTCGTACTAGGCGAACGGTTGTGGCGTTTGCGTTTCATATCGACGATTACTCACTCAGATACAATTTCGTTTAAATGTAACGTTGGCGACGTTAAATTATTTCATTTATTATTGACGTAAACTTATATCACTAAGCGTAAACTTAATATCGAACTTGTTATCACTAAACTCTAATACATTCAGTTCTCACGAAAATATGCCCCAAACCCCTTAGGGCCGGTTTTTCAATCATAGTTTAAACTTGGTTCAGCATTTGAACTTGGTTCAAACAAAATATACCGTTTTTCAATCAAAGTTCAAGCTTGAATTTGGTTTAAACTAAATCAAAAGATGAACTGTCACTGTTGGCCGTTTAAACGAAGTTCAACTTGACATAACTTAATTTTTCTCTGCTTTATTGTGTATTATGTTGTTTATTTCTTGTTTTGTAATCTGCTGTTATAATAAACCAATGGATATGTTTGAGGTAGTTAGTGAGGATGATGAGGAAATTGGCGAATTCCTAAATAATATTCAACTTCGTGTGCACAGGCCACGGGTAAGACCGAATCATTTTAAAAGGTGGATTAATGATGAATTTTTTGCCAGATTTCGGTTTTCCAAACCTTTTGTACGTAGGATAGTGGATTTAATTAGACCAGTTATTGCAAATCCGACCAATAGGTTAGTTATAAAAATAATTACTAAATAGGTAATAGATTTTAGTAAAATTCATCACATGTAACAAAAAACGACAAATTCCTTTTATACTATAAAACGAAATACATACAAATAATTCCTCCTTAAAAGAGTTAAAGTTGGCAGCACGATTTTTATTCATAATAAATAATAATTATTGGTCTTTAACAATTGTTTGTAAGCAACCTTTCGCACAGATTAGAACTTTTTAAAACAGCACAGATAAACAAAACTCCAAAAGTAAACACAAGATACTTTTGTCAAAATGACAGTTTTAACTACTATTAATGTAGGCGTATACTAAATTCGGTTGTACCAACTTAACGTTGACACCGCTGATCCAAGTTCAACAGAACTGCTGTTGAGTCAACATTGAAAAACTTATTTAACTGTGAACTGAGTTCATTAACTGATCTAGGTTCCCCTGAACTAAGGTTTAAACCCTAATTGAAAAACCGGCCCTTAGTGTGTGGCCTATTAAAGGAATATTATATACAAAGGCAATTTATGAGACATTTGACATGGTTCTTTACTTACGAATGGCACCAAGGGTGCTGGTGTTAATTTAAATGTGTACTTAAATCTAGTAAATATAATATAGACATAATTATCTAACACAAGTTAGACGAGGACTTACTATTAAGATGACTCTGTTAAGGACATGAGTATATATACCTTTGATGATAAACTTTAATTTAAAATAGCTTACACAATGTCTAATACATATGCAAATCAGCTATTCGTACATTTGGTTTTATTATACGTAACTGTAAATCTTTTTTAGATCCAAACTGAATTATAGTTCATAGTGTGATACCCCTTTTATAATGAGTATTTATCTAGGTTAAAGTTAGTTCAAAGATGATTCTTATATATGTAATTAAACTTAGAAAACAACAATCCATAAATTTAACATGCAATCATTGGCGGACAGAAGATTTATTTCAAATCTGATTCTACTTAACACACTTCTAAATAAAAGAGTAATGCATTAAAGTTACTTTCATTATTTCTTTTGTTTTTGTTCCAAGAATTAGTTCTCGCAGCACTTTTACATCTAAGCACACAACTCCAGGACTAATGTGCATCCAAAATCTCCGGTCCAAGTTCAAATAACTTTAACAAGATTTTTAACGCTTGTCATATTAATGTTTGTAGTCTTAATAAATTAATTGTCTAAATGGTACTTCAGTAATCAACAAACTGTGTTTGTTTTGAAAGCACGTCACGCACTCCGTGGGCGAGCTTTTATAAGCATTGAAAGCCTATTGTAAGAGACTGGACGTAAAAATTACCGAAAGCGAGCGAATTACTTTCGTGATGAAAGATTGTAAACAAGAGAAAAGAAGCAGTATAAATACACCCGATAAAAATCCACCATGAAAATTTAAGGGGAATCGATCAAATAAACAAATAAGTTTTTATTTCAACAATGACTGGAAATTAAGTTTCTGATTGTTCCAGATAGATCTATACCTGGAGACGACATTCGCGCATTAATTGGTCTTAATGTACTACGACCAGGCATTAAAATAGAAATATATGCAAATAGTATAGATATTTCATACGACCCCCTAAGCAGACCTAGAATTTGTACAATACACACATTCAACCACACATTCAACGAAGCAGAAATTAATCTGTCAGGATTGGAAGATCAATTAAGTAACAAAATACAATTCTTAAAAATGGTATAAACCAAACACCACCCACTGTTATAACTGGCAAGTTAAAAAATAACACAACGTGATCTACAACCGGTTTTAACCACCTCATCTATCATCGGCTCTAGATTGCTAAATTAGCGCTACTGACAACTAACAATCTGCCGAGCTAGTCTTTGTTAAGCATATTTTTAGTGGCTAGTAAAGTGTTTGTTGTTTAATAGACCAAATTATAATAAAGCTAAGATATATTTTGCCCTGTAAATGATTATCTGTGGGGCAAATAAAGTGATACAGAATTTATTTATTTATACTTTCGGCGCATTCAACATAATGCATGTTTCAGTTGCTTTATTTTTTATTTCCATACCTTTTTATATTTATTTTTGTAGTGGACTACATTCGCTTTCACAACTAATTTTTATATTTTAAATCACACTGCATATAGAACTGTCACTTACATTGAGAAAATAACATCGGCCAAGTGGCCGCCGCCATAGTTGATGCACAGTTGCATTTGGACGTTTTAAAGCATTTTTTTAACACTTTAGGCAATAGATTTTTCAAGGCCTGTGGCTAGTTCACATAACTATTCCAGACTTTTTTCTTTGGGATTTTTTTGAGTGCCCACCATATCTCATTATGATTTTCACTTAAAATTTAAGTTGTTTCGACCATGTTGAGTATATCTTAAGTTCTAATTAACCGATTTGGCCAGACAAGGACTTAAATTAAAGTTTATTGAGCCTTCTACAACTTTCTTTTACATAGTTTTAGGATTGGCTCAATTGCTCAGATGCTTGCGATTTTAAAGTTGTTTTTTGGCAATAATCAAGGTTACGTATAGTCCTGGGAAAAATAGAAATAGCAAAGATAAGATTTTTTACGTAAAGCTGGCACTTTCTTGAAAAACACATTGATTAAAATCTATGGATAAATGGCTAAGTAATATATTTTTCAGTTGAAGACCAAAATTCAGCTTTTGAGTTTTTCAAGTTTCCTAACGTATTTTTTTTCACTGAAAACATGATTTGATTTTGGGCAATTATGATTGGTGTGCTTCAGACGAAGAATATATTATTGTAACCCGGTATTTTCATCGTTATATTAGTTCATAAAGATTTGTGAAATTAGTAAAAGAAGTCGAGAGTTTGAGTAGGTACGCAAACAACCTTACCGATTTCTGCAACGTTTGTGGCGAATTTATAGTAAAAAAAAATGTACGCAAATTTACTGATGCGCTACAAAAAAGATATCTGAATTACTTTGGAATGTTGCTAACTCTCACAGATCCATGGACAACAATGTGCTCTGTACCAATCAATTCCCAGAAAATGCGCCCAAAGGTATGAATTTGTTTTTAAAGCTATGATTTTTAATGGAGGTTTCAGGAAGCAGAAAACAACGCCATTTAATTTGCGTTCAAAGTGCAAATGAAGGCCATGGAGCGACGGTATCACGGCTTCTGGGATGCAGCCATGATGGTCGATTACTTAAAGAAGAAGCCAGATTTTTTTTACATAAAAATCATATTTTAACACTATAATATTAATATTATTAAAAGTTTCCAATGATTCAATAAAATAAAAAATCGTCAAAAAGCTGAATTTTGGTCTTCCACAAAAAAGTAGTAGTAGTTTTTTTTGTTAAAGTGTCAGCTTTACGTAGGTACAAAATAAAAAGTACGATTTCTATTTTTCCTGAAGGATATATTCGACTTTTTCAACTCATTAAAATCGCTAGCCTCTGAGCTACTCAGCCCATTAAACTATGTAAAGTTGTAGAAAGCTCAGTAATCTTTAATTTGAGGGCTTATTCAGCCAACTCTATTAATTAGAACTCGAATTATACTAAACAAATTTAAGGAGAAAAAATCCAAAATTCCTATTTTAAAAACGCATCCATGAAAAAAAAATTGATTTTCGTGTTAAGTGGGTTAAAATATATAGGAAGATGAGATGTAAACTGCTACTACTTTTTAGATTATTTCTGTTTTTTACTTTATTTATTGTTTTTTTTTAACAATTAATTAACTTTTGTAATATTTTTATTTTTCCAGTTCGTCTATATTAATTTTTAATTTTAGGTTTACGTAATCGAATTTATATTAAAATGGAGAAGGACAAATCTAGGTAAATATAATTTTTAATTTTGATTCATAAAAAACATTTATTTTATATTTTAGGGGTTTTAAACATCTACAAGATAAGAAGAAGTATAAACCGAAACCTAAATCAAACTCTACTACAGTGGTCACTAAATCCAAGCCAATAAAATTAGATTCAAATTGGGATAGATATGATGAGGAAGACAACGATAATTTTGAATTAGAAAGTAAAACAAATTTTTCTATTTTAGCAAGTAACCCTATTATAAAGGGTAGTCATTTTCAATTCAAACGTGATAAATTGGAAATATTTGGTTTAAATGAAGAAGAAAAAAATATTTTTAATTTGGATATAAATATTCTTAATTTAAGTTTAACAACTTTACCATTTTTTGAATTTATTGGATATCAAATACAATTTTCTGTAAGTATAATTGTTTGCATTTATTACACGTTATACAGGGTGTCCAAAAAGGGTGTGAGTACTTTATTTGTCCATTTACTGTGAAACGCGGCAATTAGTCCTGATGTTAGAACATGGTTTCAAATATTTTAAGTTGCTGATCTAGGTATAGGAAAAATTGTGTATTTTCATTGTATATCTAGCAGCTTGGTCACGCTAAAATTAGTGTTCTCCTAAAATGCGAGTGCGCAAAAAACGCGTTTTTTACCGATAAACGGCATAATTGCAACAACATTTCAATGAAAGACAATTTAACATCCACCACGACCGCGGCCGCGGCCAACGAATCTAAAATTAATGTTGTGGTAAAATGCGCGTACCAAAAAAAAAACGATTTGTTCTCCGATGAACCGCATAATTGCAACAAAATTTCAATAAAAGGCTTTACAATTTGACCTCCACCAAGACCGCCGCCGCAGCCAATGTTTAAAACGTACTTGTTTTACGAAAATAATTCAATAACTTTTTTATTACAAATAAATATATTTTTTCTTTTTTACTTAATAACTTTTTACTATGAATACATTTATATATTTGTTCTTTTTACCTGTGTTAAGTAAGACTAAGTAAAAATGTGTTTTTTTAATGCGTTTTCACGTTGGTTTTATAACCGTTTTGTGGTAAATTCTATAATTTGATTATTATTATGTATACAAATATTTTTTTAAATCCTTAAATTGTTATAAAAAATATATTGTATTATAGAGCACTGTTCGCCTGGGCGCCACTAAATTTTAGTTTATGGGAAAAAGTTTAAAAATTACGTAAGTGTTTATGGAAAATGCAAATAAAAAAAAAATTTACTCGTTAACCCAATATTATTTAATTTGCCAAATCAATTTTTTACAATAACGTTAGATATTATCTAATAGACAATACAAACCCTGCTTATCAACTAAGACCTTATTTTAACTTAATATTTAACCCAGTTAGATGATTTAATGACATATATATAAAAAATAAGTAAATGAAGTTAATTCACTCTGAAAATTAAATATTTAAAAAAAATTAAAATTTATATCATTGAACTCTCTAAAAATTAAATAAACTTAAAAATTAAACTAAAGTGTGCACCATGTTTAACAGCAGCCCAGCAGATAACACCTGAAGATGGTACATGATATTGTACCGAAACGTCGTCAGACATACGGTTCTTTTAAGAACCAAAAACCGACAACGGAGCAGATCCAGAAAAACCACTAATACATATATATATATATATATATATATATATATATACAAAATTCTATCATTGCTGCGTCCATACATTTATAAAATCCCTATTCTTATTGCGTCAACGACCTTACTGCGTCAGTATATCTGACGCACTAATGTCAAGCGCTTATTTCTTAAAATTTACTTCATCCCAGCACTTTCTAAGATTCTTGCTAATACAGATCTGTGTAGAATTTAATGCCCAATTTTTGTGTCCAAAAATTTGTTATGTCCGACCCTGCGTTTTTTAAATATTTAGAAAAATTTGAACACAAAAAGTGTGCAGCAACATACTAAAAATGGAAAAAATGTGTATATTTAGTTCAACCCATTTGACGATGAGGGCGTTGCGATAATATACGTTTTCCAATATACGTGTTTTTAAATACTGTATGTTGTTGCGTCGCACAATTTGGCAACGTCTCGCCTATGATTTTAATATTTGAATTAAACTCACGATACTGTTGCAAATGGTAGCGCTGTCTCTCTCGCACCGTGTGACGTCACGCTAGAGACAGTTGTTCTTTCGTTTAAATGTAATCATATTATAATCTTGGGGCGCGCGTCGAGTTTTATGAAATTTACAATTATGACGGTTGATTTATTAAAACTGATTGATGTAAGATAAAATTGTTTTGTCCATAAGTAATTGTGACAATGTATTTTTTAAATTATATATGCAGATGCAGATTTAAAGGCAGAAAAACGATTATCATTTTTTTACGCTTATAATCGTAAAAAAATGATCATCGTTTTTCTGTTAATTTTACTATTTTAAAAATAAAAGTTTTTCATGTTTTTAGATACTTAAAAAAAGGTTAATATCAATGCAAATAACTACAATGTGTTTTAAGTTATTAACAGGTAATTCAAAAAAAATTAAAAAAAGTAAAACATCTATGTTATAAATACAGGGTGTTTCTACTGAAAATTGACAATCTAAATTAGGCTTCCTAATAAATATTTTTCAATTGAGCTTTTGTTTTTGAATTATCAAACTTTGTTTTGAAGTAAAACTTTTTATGTAAGTTATTTATGGGCGGATTAAAAAAAAATTAGTTTTTAGTAAATTTTGACATTTTTTCTTAAGTATCTTTAGTAGATTTAAATCTACTAAAGATACTTAAGAACTGTAATAATTATTACAGTTTTTACACAAAATAACAAAAACACAATACAAATTTGAATGTCTTTTAATAATAATTATTATAATTTGAATTATTGTAATAATAAAAATAATACATCATATTATAATAATAACATTACTAAACAAAATTAAACATAATAAACAATGCAGTAGCAAGTTAAATAAGTAGTTTCGAAACTCGAATGTTGAGCGGTCTATGGAATGTCATCCCGTCCATCATCTTTATGTTCAGGCATAATTAAATACATGTATATCTTAAAATCAAATAATACCACACAATGTTAGTTAAAAAAAATTGTCTTAATTTTAAAAACATTCAATCCCCCAGGGGCGGACAGCTTATACAAATACCCTTTTCACAACTTTTTTTTAACTAAGTGAGATTTACAAAAATAATTATTTCAGCCCAGCCTACCGAATTTCTAATTTTTGCCGCGCCCCCGGGGGATTGAATGTTTTTAAAATTAAGACATTTTTTTTTAACTTACATTTTGAATTTGGCATATTAAAAAACTATAAGGTATTAACTCACTTGTTACACAAAAAAAATCTTGTTAATATATTTTAATTTAAAGCCCCTCCCCAAAGCTTTTAAAGTTTTAATATGCAGCTCTTAGATTAAAAAAAAAGCCGTGGTGCGCGGCGTAAAATTAAAATATATAAATATTTTTTTTTGTGTGTCTTAAGTAAGTTAATACCTAATAGTTTTTTAATAAGCCAAATTCAAAATTTAACTTAAAAAATATTTTTTATTGAATTTTGAGGAATTTCAACCCCCCGGGGGCGCGGCTAAATTTGTTTTTAAAAATTTGAAAAAAACAGCTTATTTGTGTACCCTTTTTACAATGACAATGAACCCTCAAAAAAATAAAAGTTCCCGGGAATTTTTAGAATTTAGTGATTTTTTTTATGTTCACGGAAATTTTTGTACTAAAATTGTACACCTTTTTGTGGCCTAGTTTACACAATAGATTTGGTCAATAAGTAGGGAATTAACTTGGAAATTAGTAAAATTAGGGAAATTAGTAGGGAATTAGAGGAATTACTAGGTATTTTTTAAATTAAAATGGAATTATAATAAATAAGGGGAATTAGTAAGGAAATAGAGGAATTAGTAGCAATCCTGGGAATTAGTGTACACATTTTCTTTTGCGGTTTACTCCGAGGGGTAAACCGCAGGGGAATTTTGGTGTACAATCTGTAGAAATTAGTAAGGAATTAGAGGAATTTGTGGGGAATTATAGGAATTAGTGGGGAATTTGGGGAATTACTCGGTAAATTAGTAAGCAAGTAATGGATTTAGTGGGGAATTAGAAAGAAATTAGAAGAAAATTGATGTCTCGTTTAGCACTTGAATATAAATAAAAAAACAAAAAAAACCCGGAAGTTACAGAGCTACTCCATTCTTTGCCAGTTCCAGATTGGGAGTAGTACCACTACAGCATTGAAAAAAATGAAGAATGTTGTGTACAGCACACCACCCATATTTTAACAAAAATTAGTAATCGTTTCCTAAAACCAGGAATACATCTGCCAATTGGGAAATACACTGTCTTCTCTGGTTATCTCAGGAAATTAAAGTTTCCAAAAGACAAACATCTCCTGACAGATTCGGATCTCAAAAGTGAAGACAAGATGAATTTTGCATCCTCAGAAAAAATGTGCAGTTTGATAGTAATTGAACGACTGAATAAGGAAATTCCACAAATTAAATAGAGCGTGGCGTATCTCAAGTTAATGTACTACATCGAATCGTCGTTCTTAAATTCCAGCACTGTGTTGCATACTAGATTATATCGCATCTGGTATGTTGTATTTTTTACTAGAATCTGGAGAGCCTGGATTAAAGAACAAAAAGAATATAAAATAACAGACAACTTTTTGACCAGTAATTGTAACCTTTGCATCGAAACGCCCATGCTTTGATTAAACTAATACTGAAGCTTAACAGCGGTGAGTTAAAACCAGATATGTTCATCACCGGCATTTTTGGTAGCCAAGCATGTGAATCCTTATTTCGGGCTGCCAGATCCATGACTTCTACGTATTCAACAATAATACATTTTAGTATAAAGGATATGATGAACCGAATTGAGAGAATTAAGACAACTGATACCATAAACGATTTGAGGGGGACTTTTACATTTCCATGGGAAGACTAAAGATTAAAAACCAGACTAATGAAAGAAAATTTACCACGTGAAGAAGAAATTTTAAATTTGGATATCAAATCTACAGTTAAAAAAGCTCTACAAAATGTCATAGAGGACATGAAACATCTTGGAATTAATGCAAAAGAAAACGATTGGAAATATATGCAGGTAGGTACCGTTAATAAGACGGAAACAAAATATTGCAATTACACAGGATAATGAAGACGCCGATGAATACAACGCTGAAATTGTCGAAAACCCCGAAGAAAATTGGCAAAAACTGGCAAAAACAAATATTATAATATTTGTTTGTTTGTACTAATTAGTAATGAGGACGATAAAGTTATGGATAAAGTTATGGACTTAATTTCGAACGAGATTTCTAACGAAGATCGCGAATGTGATACTTTGGAAACGAGTTGTATAAGTTTAAAAGACTTTTCTAAAAAAGTGCACATTGTATCGGAAAAATCACCGTACCTATATAATATTATATATTCAATTATTAAAAAATCATCGTACTGCTGGCTTTTAGTACTGGCCGATTAAAAAGATTTATAGGCGGTACAAGGAAAACACCGAAGAAAACACCTTTCAAAAATTCCAAGTCGTCCTTGACTATAAACAGAAGCTATGCATGGATCAAGCTAGTAGCACAAGCACTGTATCCTCCTCCGACTCTATCGTGATAAAACTCGACGACTCCGATGATTTGGAGGAGTTTTCAGATGAGATCTTGTCGTATAA